GTCTTCCTTGTGCTTTATGTAGATAATATATTGCTCATCGGAAATGATATTCCTACCTTGCAAGGAGTAAAATCCTGGCTAGGATCGGTCTTTTCGATGAAGGACTTAGGAGAAGCCGCCTATATTCTAGGAATCAAGATCTATAGAGATAGATCGAGAAGGCTTCTTGGTCTAAGTCAGAGTACATACATTGACAAGGTCTTGAATCGGTTCAAGATGCAAGACTCCAAGAGGGGTGCCTTGCCAATGGGACATGACGTAGCTCTTAGCAAGACTCAGTGTCCAAAGACACAGGATGAGCAAGAGCGCATGAGTAGGATTCCATATGCCTCGGCAATTGGATCCATCATGTACGCCATGTTGTGTACTCGCCCAGATGTATCATATGCATTAAGCATGACTAGTAGATATCAATCTACACCAGGTGAGACTCACTGAATTGCAGTCAAGAACATCCTTAAGTACTTGAGAAGGACTAAGGATTTGTTCTTGGTGTATGGCGGATTGGAAGACGAGCTCGCTATAAGTGGTTATACCGATGCTAGTTTCCAAACCGACAGAGATGACTTCAGATCGCAGTCAGGTTATGTTTTCTGCCTGAACGGTGGGGCTATCAGTTGGAAGAGTTCCAAACAGCCAACCGTTGCAGATTCGACTACAGAAGCCGAGTACATAGCAGCATCGGATGCACTAAGGAAGATGTTTGGATTAGGAAATTCGTGGGAGACCTGTGCGTTATTCCTAGCATTGCAGATCCCATTGAGCTGTACTGTGACAACCATGGTGCGATTGCGCAAGCTAAGGAACCCCGGTCACACCAGAGATCCAAACACATACTCAGGCGATTTCACATAATCAGAGAAATCATCGACAGAGGAGACGTGAAAATAAGCAGAGTGTCGACAGATGATAATACTGCCGACCCATTGACGAAGCCTCTCCCTTCGTCAAAGCATGATGGTCATGTTAAGGGTATGGGGATTAGATGCTTGTAGGATAGATCATAGAGCATAGTGGGAGATTGTTGGTTGTAATGCTCTAGGATGATCCGTGATATGACATTTTGACTTTGTATTGATTCATTGATTTATGAATGCGTTACATTCCCGTTATATAATTGGCATGTTTGTTATATTTCGGCATCCTTGAATCATTATAAAATGATTCTAAACTCCCTGATCAGTTATCATTGTGGGAACAATGATGAATTAAGACTAGCATGAGGTGTGATTGATGCATTGGATGCATATCACAATCATGGGTACTCGTTGTGTACGAGTGACTGGATGACCCGCATGAGATTGTCACATGGACAGAGCCATGACTTGAATCTCATAAAGCCGTTCGTTCTTGGATCCTCAGACCTGAGATGTCTAGAGTATCTGATATGAGGAGTGACGTGTCTTGACTGCGTGGATGATTATAATGGCGTTGATCAGATACGTTCACGAATCATATGGAGATAATAGACATGCAATATGGAACTTGTCACCTCCTTAATAGGAGAGATATCGCTGGGCCCTCTCGTGGAAGTCGGACTATGAAAATGTGTGGCCACGCTATAGATGAAGTTGCATCTATTTTATTAGTTGATTTGCCAAGACGAGAAAGCGGTTGAACTTGAAGGGTGGCTCACACCATGCCCTTGTTCAACTTATGATATCGTGAGATAAAGGATCAGTACTCGAGCTGTTATTGCCTTGGTTAGATCACCTCTAACTCAATTCAACGTTGGTGGTCATGGCGTCTTGCTAGAGGTTAACCATGACTTGTAGATCGGGAATGGTTCTCGAGGCTGCTGCCACTGCGAATGGGCCTACAGGGTCACACACCATTAGGGATGGACTTATGTGAAGTTTCGGAAAGGAAGACTTGGATTTGGTTGGAAAAACCGTTTTCGGATCAAATCAGAGTGTTGGGACGTTTTCAACCTTCTGACTCGGACCGAGTCAGTATTTGACTCGGACCGAGTCAGTTCCACGCGGGTCGAAGCCCAGAAAGTGTTTTGGACTTGGCTGATGTTTTGACTCGGTCGAGTCAAAGTTTTGACTCGGACCGAGTCAATACTAAATGGGCCGAGTCAAGAGTTGACAATGGGCTTGGGCTGATTCGTTCTGACTCGACCGAGTCAGAGTTTTGACTCGGACCGAGTCAATACTCGGAAAAAGTCTCTTTTCACAAGGATTAGGGTTTCTATCTTATAAGGAGGTGTTGGACGCCGTCCTAAGTAGTGGATTGACTTACAGAACCCTAAGACAGATCTAGAACCAAAGAAAATCGTTTCTTTTTGAAGTTCTAGTTCCCGGGATTTGATCCCAAGTCTTGGAAACCCTATTCACTTCACAGATCCTAGCAGATCAGTTCCAAAAGCGTTTGGAATCCTTCCCGTCGGTGTGGATACGTGTAGAGGAGCTGTACTTTCAGCTCTTGGTGATTAAAACAGGCCCTGGATCGATTGCTACTTTTAGATCTTCAGGAAAGAGGTAAGTATTCGATTCCTACGGTGATATACACGATTGAACGGGGTTTTACGGATGATTTTGGTTGCGTATGACGTTTGACTAGGTTTAGATTATTCTTCCGCTGCATGAAACCTAGTAAACTAAACCCTAGATCGATATGATCGCATGCTAGGAATCCGTAGCAAAACCCAACAGGACCGTCCGGTCTGGCTTACCCAGAACGGACGGTCTAGGGTAGGTTTACGTGATAAGATCACGTTTCCCCTCGTTCTTGTCCCCGATCAGACCCGAAACCGATCCGAATTCTTCTGTACACCCAAAATTCGAACTCCTGCACTCTATGCAACATGAAACATGCAAACTACACTAGATTCAATAATCAAACATGCATAGATATCATAGCAAACATGGATTCAAACAATTCAAATCCTAAACATGCGTGATCGGGTTCTACGAAATCAAAACAGAGCAACCAGGCTCTGATACCACTGTTGGGTTTCCTGGGATCTCATGAGCGAATCCTATTCCTAAGAGATCGATTCTAGGGTTTGCGCAGCGGATATAAAACAAAAATTTAATAAATCCTAGAACCATGCTGCTATTGAAACGTAGAAACGTTAGAACGCTTACCTCAATCGATCCAGGGCCTGTATCAATCGAAGAACACGTCTGATCACGAAAGGCAGGAAGATACCTCGCCCTCTACACGTATCCACACTTCGGGATGGATTCCAACGCTTGGAACTTGTCTGCTAGGACTCGAATCCGCTATTCGATTTGTGCTTCGAGAAAAACGGACTTTGATCACACTCTCAATCTCTTGGATCTCTCCAAAAGTCTGCTAAATATGTTCTGAAGTCGGCTCTTTTTCTCTTTCTTACATTAGGGTTTTAATCTCCCTTTTATAAAGTGATTTAACCCTAATTTCGGTTTAATTTCGGAAACACTGAAGCCCGGAACGGACGGTCCA